GCTTTGTCATTTACCGGTGAGATTTCCGAGCCAAAAATATACAAACTGAATCACAAAAGGAGCACACAGCAATCCAGTGTCTCTCAAAAATAATAAGATTTCAATTTAAACCACTAAAGGAATCTCCACAGGCAGAGTGCAACAAGTTAATGAAGGCCAGTGACCGATTCAGGCCCTCTAGCCTGGCTTGTCTTAGATGATTTTAATCCAGTTGCACAATTAACTCATTACCTTAAGATGTTCAGTGAGCCACAATATTTCGAGGTCTTTTATCTCATTATTTATTTTATTTGGTAAGGTTTTGCACACAAAAAAAAAAATCACATATTGCCATTTATGCTGAAGAAACCTTTATTTTTAAGAGCGTATGATCACTTGCTTTGATTTTGTAATGGCATTCAGGAATGTTTAAGTGTCCAAAATACGTTTTAGTCTTGTAAATGATTTTTCCAAGAGGAAATGTTGACATATCCAGCTAATAGTAGAATTTCCTGAGGATTTTGTAGTGGAAATGTTTTCGAGACTCTTTGAAATGCAAAAGCTGGTGTCTTCCCCTCTAGAAGATTCAAAACACATTTTTGAAAACTAAGTTTGGGAGAGCCAAGGGTAGTCTGGGGATTGATTTAAGCAGTGAAAAGCAGCTTTGTCATTTACCGGTGAGATTTCCGAGCCAAAAATATACAAACTGAATCACAAAAGGAGCACACAGCAATCCAGTGTCTCTCAAAAATAATAAGATTTCAATTTAAACCACTAAAGGAATCTCCACAGGCAGAGTGCAACAAGTTAATGAAGGCCAGTGACCGATTCAGGCCCTCTAGCCTGGCTTGTCTTAGATGATTTTAATCCAGTTGCACAATTAACTCATTACCTTAAGATGTTCAGTGAGCCACAATATTTCGAGGTCTTTTATCTCATTATTTATTTTATTTGGTAAGGTTTTGCACACAAAAAAAAAAATCACATATTGCCATTTATGCTGAAGAAACCTTTATTTTTAAGAGCGTATGATCACTTGCTTTGATTTTGTAATGGCATTCAGGAATGTTTAAGTGTCCAAAATACGTTTTAGTCTTGTAAATGATTTTTCCAAGAGGAAATGTTGACATATCCAGCTAATAGTAGAATTTCCTGAGGATTTTGTAGTGGAAATGTTTTCGAAAGCATAATTACCTCATGACATTTTACACTGTTGTAAAAGGTTGAAGTTTCCGACTGCTTTGCAGTCCTTTATAGATAGAAGTTTGAGAGCCAAGATATCTCTAAAAGACTGTTTCCTCTTTTCGACTGCCTAAAGTATTTCGCCACATAGGTGCTAAGATTGCTAAACCCTCATGCTCTCTTAACACAAGAAGGCACTCTACAGAGGAAAGTGCAACAAGAGGGCATCAACAATGCATCTGCCATTGCCTACAAGCTCCCTGTGGGGTCTGTAATAGATAGGGTGCTAATGCAAGAATGTAGTCAATCCCCTTCCAGCTAGCATCCGTAGAGAATGGCCCAATTTTTATGCAGCATTTTATGTATCTAGTGAAGTAGAAATTTCCAAAAAGCCTACAAGAGACTTTCCATTGTAAAAATACAAACTGACAGCAAAATTCTGAATGTGTAAGCAGGCATTCCCACAGGCTTTCCGGGTGCGAATCCATTTGCCTTTAGACGACTCGTAGTCTAGCCAGGAGACAGCAGCATCCCGAGGGGGAACATTTTGCTCTCTATTGGTGACCATACCATGGATGTGTTGGTGTGCCGAGCCTCCTCTTAAAATAGGGCACGTGTGATACAATGCAGGGATCAGGAGAGGTTGCTTTGAAGAGCCCTTCTCTCAGGATTTAGTTAAAAGAAGTAGCATCAGAGGGGGAGAGTGTGGACCCCTACTAATTCCTAAATTATAGAAAAACGTGGAGGGTTCTTAGAGTCCTTTAGTCTGACAGTTGAAAGGGAGAGTTTAGAGGTAAAGTGTGTATTTCAGAGCAGCTCTGAACAGAATTGTAATAGTTTAGTTTGAGAAGCCTGACTGGGCCAGACATAATGCCATTGCCTCAACTAACACAGTGAGATTGGGGTAGGAATTGGACCTGTTTCCTGGATCGTTGTTGTCTTTGAGATATCGTGTGTGTGTGTGTGTGTGTGTGTGTGATGTATTTGAGACTTTCTATTCAAGCAATTCTGAAAAAAATCTCATGACACCCTCATGACATTCCAAACCACAAAAGAAGATATTTTAAAAAGGTAAGTTAATGGGGTCCACTGTTGTTTTGGACCCCATTGGCTTTTATTGTTTCACAAAAACAGTAGGAAAACATCGATCAAAATACTTTCTTTTGTGTTTTTGTATGAAGGTGTTGGAACAATATGAGGTTGGTTGAATAATTGAGACTAATTTTAGTGTAAACTATCCCTTTAAGTTGATATCAGATGCTTTTACACAAGGCATTTAAAATTGATTATATTGCTTTTCAGATGATGCACGCTTTGGCAGACATCTTGGCGACGTCTTTATGCATGTATCTGGGAAAGCAGAGATCAATCTTTATCTCTTATGGGGACTGCTATGTTATGTGGAGTAAAAAATATATGAATTGTTCTCCAAATTCTCTTCTAATGGATTACCTCACCCCTAAAGCAATAAGCACGTCAGTCCTTGCGGTTTTTGATTGATTTGCCATCTGAGCGGTTTCTGCTGGGTTAAATTGTGCTAGCTGGCTTGTTCATGAGCCTTTGTGGATTTGTAGGCACTGGATTGCAGAACTGCCTTTCCTCCCCCTGCTTAGACAGTCTGGTCCTCTGGTCTCAGTGGTCCGCAGGGTCTGCAGTGACCAGTGGGGGTTTGCAACACAGGCCCATCCTGTAGGAATTCAGCGACAGATTTTTGCACCAGGAGGACACTGTGAGGGGCAAGAGAAAAGAAAGGTGCTGGGCCTGCAATGAAAGAGCACATGATGCCTATATGCTCACACACACTAACCTGAGTGTTACGTGATCAACATATGCTTCATGGAATCATTTGGCCAGGCTATTAATATGTTTTTTTTCCACAAGCATAATATGTTAGCCCAAACATGGGCATAAGCTTCAGCTTTATGTGAGTTGTTGTGCTATAAGCAGGCTACTGAGCCAAAGCTAATCGCTTAATTAAAGGAATTATGTCAGGTTGGCAATCATCATGATAGTGGAGTCCATGAACATCTGCCTCACTCATCACAGAGCAAAATATTCATAACAGTTGGAAACAGTTGCTGGTTGGATGCTGTTATCATTAGTGTCAGGTAGAGTGGTGTAATGTGATCCTCATGTGCACGGCTAATGATTACGAATGAGACTTATTTTGCTTTGTTTGTTTTTTTTTAGCATGTGATTAGGTAAAGGGTCAGTCCATGTGTTGGCTGCTGTGTGATGTAAAGTTATTTATTTAATGCTTATTTTATCATTAATATTCACTGAGGCACACAAATCTAATCTGGCAGCACCAAATAAATGCAATAATCTAGAAAATGTAAAGATGAAAGGGTTTTAAAGGTAGCCAATCCAATCAGTAGTATGACGAGGGATTGCAATTTCTTAATGTAACACAAAATATTTCCTGCTTTGAAGATTGTTGATTTAGGATTATTTCAAATACCTGCCAGCTGAATAGCTGCCATTTGATTTTTTTTCAGTGGTCTTGACCCTGTTAGTTTTTTTTCTTTTGATTTTCCATACTGTGCAACTGTGCAGTTTACATAAACACACGTAGAAAGGTACAACAGCTGTCACTGGGGCAGTACCTTTTCAAAAGGTACACTTTTGTAACTATTAGGTTCTAATATTTACACTTTAATAACCATTTAAGGTACCAAAATGGACCCTTTAGGTTCAAATAAGTACCTTTTGAAAAGGTACCACCCCAGTGACAGCTGCTGTACCTTTATTTCTGAGAGTGTAATATAGTTAAAATAGTTAATAATTATACATATACTTGGGAAAAAATGTTTGTACAAATATTAAGCAGCATTAATGTTTATGTTTTAAATGTTTTGTTTTGTATATTATTTTGAAAAAGATGTAAAACTGAAAAATCAGTTTCCACAAAAATATTAAACAGCATGGTTTTTTAAATTGAATTGAATATTTTAATTGAATGAATTAATTGTGCTTTGTTAATAAATCAAATTGCTTATAATTACTTTTAATTTGATAGATTTGTATTGTATTATTTACTTATTATTTACATACAGTGGTGTGAAAAAGTGTTGGCCCCCTTCCTGATTTCTTTTTTTTTTTGCATGTTTGTCACACTTTAATGTTTCAAACTTGCCATAATTAATGAAACCATGAATTCTGCACTCTATAAGAAAATGTCTCTAGGTTACTTATGTAACCATGGTTCCCCGAGGGAACGAGACGCTGCTTCGAGATGCTTTGGGAACGCCCTTGCGTGACCGCGTTCTGAAGCACGTGTCAAATCCGTCCAATGGAGCAGCGAGACGTCAAAGCATGGCACAACCAGTTATTAGATTTAGGGGGCAATTACTTTTCCACGTAGGGCCAGGCAGGTTTGGACAGCTTTTTTCCCTTAATAAAATAAATAATCATTTAAAAACTGCATTTTGTATTTACTTGCATTATCTGAATCTTTTAAGTGTGACAAATATGCAAAAAATTAAAAAAACAGGAAGGGGGCAGAAACCTTTTCACACCACTGTATTTACTTATTTATTTACTTTATAACAAATTATTGTCACATTAAATTAACTGGATAATTAACAGGTAGCAAAATATCAGTTATAGAGGGCAGTCAGTTATTTTTGTTCCTCATAGAGTTCCTAAGAGTCCTCAGGAAGTTTTTTTTTTTTCCTCTCTCTCTCTCTCTCTCTCTCTCTCTCTCTCTCTGTCCCTGTAATGCCAAAAAAGCTTTTAGGAGTGATTTCCTGTTGGGATTTAGATGTCAGATATCTCCAGGACATCAGTCTCTCATCTTCCTAATGTATATGTGTTTCTGTCCCTTTGTGATCTTTCAGAAGAAGAGCAAGCTGCATTACCACATTGCAGTCATCATAAACTACCTGGGACACTGTATCTCTCTGGGAGCCCTGCTGATCGCCTTCATCCTCTTCATGAGGCTAAGGTGGGTGAGTGCCTCTGCTCTGAGGGGTTTTCAACAGAACTGAACATCTGCATTAGTCACACTGGTGGACTTGCATGAGAGAGATTCATGTATGAACCGCTGCTACTGCGTTGTGAAGTGAGTGGATGAATAAGTAACTCAGGATTCTCAGGAGTGTAAAAGATTTAGGGGGAAATGTATTGCTCAGGAGACCTAATGGAGTCATTGATTAGGTTTCACTTAAAGGTAAAGTGTGTCATTTTTGTGCCACCAACTAAATGGAATTGCAAAAATAATAACTTGATGTTTCAAACACACTTCTGCCAATGGTTGCAATCATATAGTCCTGCTCCAAGCACACACCATTGACTCTCAAATGAAACAAAAAAATATTTGGGTTTTAACATGGTTGCAGGTTTTTCTCCTTATTCATTAAGAAAATAGTAGAAATAGGGAAAATAGAGCAATAAATTATTGTATAAGCCCGCGAATGTCCTTCACTTCAACCTTTCCGAACTTTATGAAATATTATTTTACGGAAGGTTCGAGTGGTGTATGTGTGTGAGGAATTGGAAGCAAGCATAATACGGGTGTTTCTAAAGCAAACTCTGCGTCATCGCGCATCTGGTAAACTAAGCTCAGAATTGATTCTGAAATTCTCAGAATCGATCCAGAATCGTTGGAGAGAGAATCGCGATGCATCGATGGATCGATTTTTTTCTCACACCTCTACTAAAATGTATAATTGCAGAAAAAATATATACATTGTATTGAACATTAATGGAGCAACATATTTTGTGTGAAAATAAATCATTCAAGTTGTTTATTTTGTTTACAAATCTTATAAATGATGAGGTGGCATGAGTGGTCTTTTACCCCACACACGGGGTACGTTACGGTGTTGATACAAATACTTCAGCTAAAATAATGTTTTTTAAATATTTAATTTATAATTTAAATAACTTTAGCAAAGTTTGTACTATTTTCTGCTTATTTTGAAAAAAAAAATGTTTTTTCAATAAATATACTGTCATTAAAATATGTTAGAAACAAAAATACAGAAAAAAATCATTTTAATAAGTAAAGATTCTGAAAGTATTGAAGAAGATCCAATAATAATTGCATATATATTTACAGTAGTAACAACAAATTATATTTTATTATATGATATGATTAATATCATGTTTTTAAATATGATGGTTTCATTCTAAACATGGTGATTATCTCTAATATGGACACCCAACATAATATATTATATTTACCATCTGAATCTAACCGTGTCATGTCAACAAATGATTTTGAAAAAAAAAATTTTTTTTTCAATAAATATACTGTCATTAAAATATGTTAGAAACAAAAATACAGAAAAAAAATAATTTTAATAAGTAAAGATTCTGAAAGTATTGAAGAAGATCCAATAATAATTGCATATATATTTACAGTAGTAACAACAAATTATATTTTATTATATGATATGATTAATATCATGTTTTTAAATATGATGGTTTCATTCTAAACATGGTGATTATCTCTAATATGGACACCCAACATAATATATTATATTTACCATCTGAATCTAACCGTGTCATGTCAACAAATGGAAAAGTCAGCCATCTATTAATTATCATGTTAATTACCGTGCGCCTTTAGCCCCAACAGCAGGGGTGCTTTTTACCCCAAATACTGTACGTTTACATATTCTTTTGTTATTTAAAAACTGTTGCTTTAATTATCTCATACAAAACTGAAAATCACAAAGAAGACCTTTGTCTCAAAATATATGCATTCATTTTAGCGATTCTCATTTGCTACTTAAATCTACAACATTTTTTAAAACATAAAATATTAGATCAAGTAAGCACAGAATCTACTTTGCACTGCTGTCAAGGATCAGATAAAAATACACGTGCATCTTGAAAAGCAGATGAAAGTGCTACGCCCCTTTTTTGTGCCATCTAGTGGTTTAGATGAAAATAATATCAAAGGTGCCTTTTCCCCCGGGGTGCCTTTAGCCCCGTTGTACCCTAATAGTTTTATCACACTTTATTATTTTGTTTATTATTTTCAACATCAATTGATTTTCCAGCTGCTGACAAAAACTATACATCAGGTGGTTAGCTGAATGGAAGAGAATGGAGAATTGTATATGCTCTCTGATCACAGGCGACGAGCCCTTCTTGGGCTCTGGCTTCTGGGGTCCAAGGACAACCTGTCCAGGTTATCTCTCTCTCTTGTCAAGGCACCTGAGAAATCAATACATCATGGGTCAGCGGAGTGATCCCAGCAAAGAGATTTTAGACTGATGGTGTAGAAATGAAGGGCACATCAAGGGCATGTGCACTCCTCTTTATAATTATTCCAGTCCAGAAGTGCCATTTTAGGGATGAGAACTGAATTAATTGAGCTGGCTCTCGTTATATTATCCTCAATCAAACTGAGAGATTTGTTTTCTATGGGATCATGTCCAAGCCTTAATTAGCCTGGATCAATGTGCCAAACTGGATGTGAGGAGGAGAATAGTCATGTATTTCAGCATTCCCGCACACTCGTTGGTGTTAGGGCCACAGATTGAGGCGAGTGAGCAGATTAAATATCCATGCTGTTTAGGATTATTTAGACTAGATTATCCCAGATTTAATCTGCCTTTATTAATCCGGGGAAGATATTCTGGCATCTTTCCCTGGATTTCCAATCAAAATCACGCTAGGAGTCAGCTGACAGATTTATTGGATGCTGCTTTTCACAACAATGTGCCCTGCTGATAACCCTCTGTCTGTCTAGCTAATGTTCCCAAGTCAGTGCGTCATGGATATATTGAGGCTGGGTGCGAGAACAGAGGTTGTAAAGTTGTAGTTGGGCTCAAGTGGGTCCTCTAGCAGGAAAAAAAAGTGTAATGAAATACACAATAAACAGATATGCAGGATAAACACAGAGTGTTCTTGCACTCAGACCCTCCAGCCATTTTGTGTCTGCCCACAAGGACAGAAGGACAGGACTATTAAATTGGCTCATTAATGTTTCAGCAGACTGCATTTACACAGCAAGGGATCAAGGATTTGGAAGTGTTTCTGGGACATCATGAATATGTAAATGTATGTACATATACAAATTGTAATATAAAAAAATGTAAATCATGGATATATAGAAGTAAATCTGAATATATAGTTTTGAATATGTACTTATAAGTCTGAATATATAGATAACAACTGAATATATAAATGTAAATCATGAATATACTGTATGTATAGAGGTTAATCTGAACGTATCGTTAAAAGTCTGAATAAATAGAATTAAATCTGAATATGTAGTTGTACGTTTGAATATATAAATGTAAATTGTGAATGTAGTTATTATTCTGACTAATTATAAATCAGAATGTATATTTATAAATCTTGAGTATATAAATGCAAATCTGTATATACAGTCTACATCTCAACATAAATATATCTTTATTAATAGGCATGTCAATATAGGCAGATGTTCTTAATGCTTTTTTTAAAATGAAAACAGTACGTCTATGTATCCTGTACATGTACCAATGCAGATATTGTACTATATTAATTATTGTAATTATTGCTGTCCATCACATGCTGCTGCAATTATATAATTAAAATCACTATTTGTAAACAGATTATGTTGTTTCCCTATCCCTCTCAGACATGTTGAATTGTGTATAAAAGATTAACACTGTCACCATGAGGACCTATTGGTACCACAGCCAGCCTTTTTAAAGTAGAGGGAAAATACTCATTTTGGTTTAGATTAGCAAGATGCACTTACAATAATTAATATAGTACAATATCTGCATTGATACCAGTATACAGGATATATAAGCATAATGTTTTCATTAAAATGTATATTGACATGCCTGATAATAAATATATAATTATATAGGTTTGTTGACAATAAATATTTTCCTATTTACAATGTTCAGGATTTAAATATATATATTTTGATTTGCAGTTATATTTTCATAATTATAACTACATATTCACAATTTACATTTACATATTCAGATTTATTCTGTACTGTCACTAAGATTACAGAACGCTGTAACCTCTCGCGTAATTTTAGAAATGGCCTTGTATTCTATATTAGTGCTCACCTGTCAAACGAGTTTAACCCGACTCCTCTGTCATTCACAGAATGAGAATAAAAAGCAGGAGGCATCAAAGTATGAAAGGAGAGCAAAGCTGCTGTGGGCGGCACCATTGAAGGGCTCACCCGCAATGGCTCAGGTCAACATAACAGTGACAAGCCGCTGTTGGCAGCTAGCTTTTTTTCATCCTGTTTCTTGGCAAAAGGCTAGACTGGGAGAACCTTCCTGTCCTGTGTGACACAAAAACCTTCTTACATGTGCCCTCAGGGCAGAGACAGGAGGGAATACAGAGAAACAGAATGACAGTAAACACCATAGCATTTCTCTACATATAATGCCTCAAAATAAACCATAATAAATGCAAGCTGAAAACGAGGCTCTTTATCCCACAAGGAAAGTGTTTTTTATCTATAAAAAGTACTTTTCTATGGAAAATTGTGCATATATTTTTATATTTGAAAGCCCCATAGTGGCTAACTAAATTGAATAATGCTTCATTATTTCAAGCAATCAGAGCTTTTACTTAAAACACAAACAAACAAATCCATGAAAGCAGCAATTGTGATTTTCGTGTGACTGTAACAAGAATAGCATGTGTCCTGCTAAATTTGGTTAAACAACTGTCCATTAAATGTCCCTTGGCAAAAACAAATAAAAAAAGTCACATTAGTGGGATAAGCTTTTTAACAGATTTCTGGTGTTGCTGTTTATGTAGATGAAGGCTTTTTGGACAGATCTGGTTTTCCCTGAGGAGGTCATGTAACTTTGTGTTTCACAAATGAGTTTTGTGATTTTAATCCTGTCAGAATTGAACGAGATGGTGTTTTCCGTTAAACATCCTCGGTTAAAATCATGGAGCAGTTATGGTCGTCTGAGAGCTGTAATCCTGTCTGGATTGGAATGACAGCGATTGTGGTTATTATTGTTTCACAAAGCTTGTCCTATTTTGTTTTGACCTTTGTCAAATACTGTGAGCAAAATTTGTTGTTGTTGTTGTTTTTTTGCCCGGTGCACGTTCTTTATGGACTTTTTTATTTTGCCAACATTCTGAGTAAAATACCAGTTGGTAGTACTGTTAACTTCCCATCTGAATATTGTTTTTATATATTCTTCATTGTATATATTTAATTTCACGTTAAATTGTTTAAAAGAGACAGTCAAGACTGTCTTTTTCTTTTTCTTTTTCACATAAATTGTTTTTTAGACTTTCTATTTATCAAGGAATAAAAAAAGTTCCCCTCCCTTAAATTCATAGTTTCCACACAAAATATTAAGATGCACATTTTCAACATTGATAATAATAAGAAATATTTAAATATTTTTGAGTATCAAATCAGCATTTACTAAGGATCATGTGACACTGGAGCAATAGCTGCTTGAAAATTCAGCCTTGCCATCACCTGAATAAATTACATTTTATATTATATTAAAATAGAAAACAGCTATTGTAAATTGTAATAATGTTTTCAGTATTACCTTTTTTATTGTATTTTTGAGTGAATGAATGCAGCCTTGGTGAGCATAAGAGTCTTCTTCCAAAAAAATGTCTTGGTTACATATGGTAACCCTGGGTCCCTGATGGAGGGAACGGAGACGTGTGTCAGAATGACAGTTTGGGGGGTCATCCTTGAGAGCCACAGTCACCTCTGAGAGTTTCAGAAAAGGCCAATGAAATTGGTGTGCAGAATTTGCTGAATATATGGGTATATAAGGTCAGCCACGTGCAAGCTCTACTTCAGTTTTGTTCTGAGGAGCCAAGGAAGTGTCTTCAGAGAGAGAGGGCACTATGCTCCACTGATTGCTGAGTTTTAAACGGGTCTTTCTGTAGACCTTGCAGGACCACAAAAAGATCCCAAGAGGGGATGAGGCGTGGTCTCAGAAGATTCAACCTCCAGGGGCCTCTTAGGAACCTAACTATCAGGACATGCTTTCCCTAAGACCTACTGCGTCCTTCACTAGAACGTTCGCAAATTCCTGCCGTAGAACAGCAGCATTCTCTCCTCACACTGAGGTAAAGAGGACACCACTGTACCTGAGCGGGCGCCTGGCAAACTGAATCGTGTAACTGAGCTGGATTGTCCTGACCAGCCAACGTGACAGGCTGGGAAGCAATAAACATGCATCCAGGCACTGCACTAGCAGTACTAATGGGACAATACCTGGGGTACCCTAAGTGGGGAGCCCGCTGCAAGGCAGAGCAAGGTCCATCACGTCGGGAGGTCTTGCGTGTACTGACCTTGGTCCAGGGGCCAGAGGCAGCAGAGGTGCCGCATAAAGCACTTACCTGAACTTGGGCGTGAGGCCTCAGAATGCGGGAAGGCGAAGGAGTCTCATTCACAGAGATTCTGGCGCCCGTCCATTGAGAAGACGAGAGCCACAAACACCATGAGGAAGAATGAAACCCAGGGAAGGAGGAAACTCTTTTATTGAAAATGTAAAATTCCCCCAAGGGGAGTGAGGCTCACCTGCAATCCAGGACAAGCAGGTGTGTAGCCTCTCCATTCCTTGTTTGCCCATCTCAGGACCTTTGAAGCCTTCCGTGGGTTCCTAGTAGCCTGACGAGGGTAGTGAGGACGATGGAGCCCGCAAAGCATGTCCTGTCCAAAAATGGTGCATTCCATGTCTTTGTGAGCTCCCTATGCACTTCCGGGAAGAAAGGTGGAGGGCACTTGTCCCTCCCAGTTCCCACAAACCAATCATCCAACAATGAGTGCTTGGGGGAGAGCGGTGGAACGTACTCCAACCCAGTGCTCATGGCGGCCCAAACAAGCACAGCCGCCAACTCTGTGCCGGACTCAGACTGGGCCAGAACACCCGAAGTTGGCAGACCAGCAGTGTCCTCCACGTCAGAAAGCGTAAGTCTGCACAACAATGCTGCGAGAGAAACCTCATCTTCCTCCTAAGCTCTGAACGAGAAATGAAGTTCACCCATGGGTGAGCCACATAATTCATCCAAAAACTCAACCGGGGTAACAGAGCGTGCAGGGGAATGGGAGGCCCGCGACGATCTGTTACTTACCTGGCTGATGCACTTCCACTGGAGCCCCCAGATTGCCCTCACCACCAAGGCCTCGTACCCAGAGGTAGAAGGACCAGGACAGGGAGCAACTCAGGAAGCTCTCAGTCTCTTCCTTGAGAAGACATATGAGAGTCACGACCGCAACTTTCTGATGGTCATGCTCTCGCAATGAGAACATGATCCACCCACGAACGTTTCTTCAGTGTGAGCTTGGCCCAATCACAGAATGGAGTGATCATGCCTGTCGGAGGGAGAGAGAAATCCCCAACATTCAGAAGAACACGGAGCAATGGCATCTTTGAAAAGACGTGAACCGCCGTGTAATGCTCTTTTAGAGGAAATTTACTCTTTAAAGATGGAAATTTCGCTCTTAACATCCACCGAAGCACCCATGGGAACCGAAAAAGACGCGAACCGCCATGTAATGCTTTTTTAGAGGAAATTTACTCTTTAAAGATGGAAATTTCACTCTTAACATCAGCCGAAGCACCCATGGGAACCGCCTCACACTTGTCTGTGCAGCAGGAGAGCGACCACTAAATGTGCCGAATAATCCGGTGGTAATTTGAAGTGATCGGAAAAGCTTGCTTCACATATGAGATGTGTTGCTCTAGCTCCGAAGTACAGCTTGCACATGGCCAGCCTTATATACCCGTCTATATGGGTGTGGCCTTGCATGCAAATTCTGCACGCCAATTTCATTCGCCTTTTCTGATACTCTCAGAGGTGATTGGGGCTCTCAAGGATGACCCCAACACACGTAGGAGTGAATGTCAAAAAAGGGAACTATTCTTACCATGAGGAACTATTCTTATGAGTTATATGCGATTCAACTCAATTTTTTTATGTCGGTTTAATGTAATTTATGTTAAAATGACTTGCACAACCAAATTTAAGGCAGCAACTGAAGTCAAGTTTTTAAGTTAAAATAGGTGATTTTTTTATGATTTTAGTTTTAGTTAACAATAGTAACCCTGTTACCGACCCCAAGCTTTTGAACGGGAGTGTATTTATACATATAAAACTACTATAAAAAACTACTTTCATCTGAATAGTGCTTTAGAGATGTGATAACCATCTATTAGCCTCTGATAAGTGACTTCTCTGTATGTAGTCACTCTCGAAACAGTCAGAAGTAAACTTATTCTTCCTTTAAGCAGCACTAGATTAGGAGGACCTCTGCTTTTCTATTTCTGTCCATGCTTACGCAATGAGAGTTAGCAGGGTGATAGAGTCAGCAGACCTTGGAGCACATGGTCGCTGTATGAGGCAATGGCACTTCGCCAGCACCCCTACTGTACTGTGCGAGTGGACAGACAGGTCGTTCTTACTGGGACCCAGCACGGGATGTTACCAGTACATCTGCACACCATTTGTGCTCAAGGACGCTCTAGGAGGCTCGTTCCTCTGGTGCTGCAGGCACTACACAAAGCAGCCACAGCTTGTTAGCGTTGAGCTCCTGCAGAGAGAGCTGCCTGCTTTAGCTCCCTGCAGTTTATGATTTTGGTTACCGTGTTAATGGCCTAAAATTGCATCACTCAGAGCATTTGCCTGTGACCCCTCTCAATATTAGTTGCAGAGGATTGTAATTGTGGAGCCCGACTCTGAGTGGGCGATTATTCTTGAAAGGACACATCTTAAGCGGAAAAGGCTTGGTGCAGTGTATCAATGAGAAGTGAGTGATGAGGGGGAGGACTTGAATAGACAGCTGTGATAATGCACTCCTATTAGTGCAGGCAGTGGGAATGCTAATAACTAAAACACATGCAGTTGTGAGCAAGCACCGGAAGTCTGCAAGACCCATGCAGAGACTCAGAAGTAAGAAGCGTGTGAAAGGAAGTGTTGCATAAAAGCCGTACAGATTGTATGAGTGGAGATTCGAGTGTTTCAAGTGTTCACAATTGATTTTTGCACTTAGGTATAGATTTTAGAAGGAGGAGAATGTAATTTCTAAATTTGCAATTAGGGTGGTATTTACAAAAACAACAGAAAGGAAGACATTTTCAGTATTCAGTGAAGCCAGGATAAAACTGCTAAATAATACCAAACCTACAAGCAATGACAGAAATGAAATCATCCATTAACTGGATAGTTCACCCAAAAATGTAAATCCTGTCATCATTTACTCACCCTCATGTTGTTCCATGTTGTTTCTTTCTTCCACTGAATACAAAAGATGATACTTTGAAGAATGTGGGTAACCAAACAGTTGCTGGTACTCATTGACTTCCATAGTATGAAGGAAAAAATACTGTGGAAGTCAATGGCTACCAACAACTGTTTTACCCACATTCTTCAAGTATCTTCTTTTGTGTTCAACAGATTAAAGAAAATCCTCTCTTAGAATGAGTAATGAGAGTGAGTATAATAAAATCTTAAAATAAAGTAAAATTATTATTCCTCTAAGGGCAACTTTTCTAACCTTAGGTACATGCATGCATGCATTTACACTGCAGTTACAATTGCGTAAATTGCTATGAGATTATTGTTTTAAATATAAAATATCGAATATAGAAACATAAAATGTTGGAAAAAAATACGAAACTTAAAATGCTAGTAGGTGGCAGCAAGTCATTGTCTAAATGAGTGAATCATTGATTCTTTCAAACATCAGATTCATTCAAAACAGCTGATTCGTTCAGGAACGAAGCAAGTGACTGAGGGACTCAACAAATTAGTTAAAAATGCTGAATCATTTAGGAACGAAACACAACTGTGTTGATCAGAGACGTAATGGTTCTGCCGTCACTTTGTTTTGAACTATTTCCATTGGTGGAATAGAACAAAAATAGTCGATTATGTGTCTAAATTGTACTTCACTTAATATTAATTTAAACATAGCTTTTATATATATATATATATATATATATATATATATATATATACATTGCTTCTTGAAAGTTTGCGAACCCTTTAAAATTGTCTATATTTCTGCATAAATATAACTCAAAAACCCAAAAGTCCTGAAAGTTGACAAAGAGAACCCAATCAAACAAATGAGATGAAAATATATATTTTGTCATTTATTTATTCAGGAAAATGATCCAATATTACATATCTGTGAGTGGCAAAAGTATGTGAATCTCTAGGATTAGCTGTTAATTTGAAGGTGAAATTAGAGTCCATCTGTTCAGAGGTGCTTTTAATCAGTGAGATGACTATCAGGTGTCAGTGTGTGCCCTGTTTTGTTTAAAGAACAGGGATCTATCAAAGTTTGGTCATGTTTGTTGGAGTGCATCATGGCACAAACAAATTAGATCTCTGAGGACCTCAGAAAAAGAGTTGATGTTGTTCATCAGGCTAGAAAATGTTTCAAAGCCATCTCTAAAGAGTTTAGACTCCAACTATCTACAGTCAGACAGATAAGGGCCTTTCGCACCGCTTTAGTTCCAGAACTAAATGTACAGTACTAAAGTACTGGGACGATTTTGCGCGAACTATTTCCCAGTACCATTTAAAGGGTTGCATTTGCACCGACAGTGTGTACTAAGAAGTGACGTAAGCCGGTCGACAGCGACGTCATTTGTGCATGGCGTTCAACAACAGAAACAAAGAAGAACAACATTAACAACAGGAGGATGGAGGATGCTGTGATCGGAGCTGTTTTATTTCACAATAATGGACATGGAAAGTCAACGTATACGTAAAGCGATTTGAAAGAACGGAAAGGAGGACTAAGAATCTCCAATGACAACTGGCAGTGCTACATTTGCTACAAGTGCCTGCACTTCAGCGTCCGTCCATCTATCGCTGTTCTCCATACTTGCGAAGTAAGTTGACACAATGTTTACAGTATGTTTACACAGCGTTTTAAATCATGGCGGGGGAGGGGGTTTTCGTACGCGTTTGGCCAATCAATGTCTACGTACGTCACGATTAGTACCAGTTGTGCTGGTTAGACCCTGCACAACTGGTCCCATTAGTAGGATCTAATTTGGTTCTTGAAAAAGGCAGTCCGGTACTAAAATCACACCCAATTCCGGCGGTGCGAAAATGCCAAAAAGTGGGTAGTTCCACAATTAGTTCTGGTACTATGAAAAGGTTCCCGCGGTGAGAAAGGCCCTATTGTGTACAAATGGAGGAAATTCAAGACCACTGTTACCCTCCCCAGGAGTGGTCCACCAACAAAGATCACTCTAAAAGCAAGATAGAAGTGTAAAAGTCCACTAGGTTTCAAAGGACTGCAGACTAACTTCTAAGCAACTAAAGGCCTTTCTCACATTGGCTAATGTTAATGTTTATGAGCCCATCATCAGGAGAACACTGAACAACCATGGTGTCCATGGCAGTCACAAGGAGAAAGCCACTGCTCTCCAAAAAGAACATTGCTGCCCATCTGCAGTTTGCTAAAGATCATGTGAACAAGCCAGAGGAATACTGGAGAAATGTTTTGTGGATGGATGAAACCAAAATAGAACATTTTGGTTTAAATGAGCAGCGTTATGTTTGGAGAAAACACTGCATTCCAGTATAAGAACCTAATCCCATCTGTAAAACATGGTGGTGGTAGTATCATAGTTTTGGGCCTGTTTTGCTGCATCTGGTCCAGGATGGCTTGTCATCAATAATGGAACAATGAAGTCTGAATTATACCAGCAAATTCTGAAGGAAAAAGAATCTCAAGAGAAAGTGGGACATGCAGCAAGACAACGACCCCAAGCACACAAGTTGTTCTATCAAAGAATGGTTAAAGAAGGAAGTGGAAGGATATATATATATATATATATATATATATATATATATATATATATATATATATATATATATATATATATAATTTTTATATGTTGATTAAAATATTTAATTGCGATGAGTGTCATTAGTTAACTCGTGATTATTCGCAATTTAATCGCACATTTTATCTGTTCTAAATGTACCTTAAATTTATACTTTTCAAGTTTTTAATACTCTATTCAACATGGGCATGGACAAATATGGATGCTTTATGCAAATGTATGTTTATTATTAGTGAAACCATACTCAACATAGAGCATGAAGACTAGACATGTTTCAAAGGTCATAGATGTTTTTCAAAGAACTTGTTAATGTTTATTAGACACATGAAAAAAGAATATAGAAATTCCAGGTTCCCATTACTGCACTGAGCAATTTACTTACACAAGCCTGTTTACATTTTCGCAGGACAGGGCAGCT